CACTGCCACCATTCATATTATCACGAGTCAAATTCCGAAGAGCATTGGAGTTCGGATACCATCGGTCGCTGGCCCGGGGAAACTAGTGAAAACGTACATCGAAATCTTTAAAAATATAAACACTGTTAATGTAGGTTCCATTCTCACATCGATAATTTGTATCATAATTCTAATATTCTTCAAAGACTTTATAAATGAAAAGTTTAAATCAAAACTGTACATGCCGATTCCAATAGATCTTATATTAGTGATTTGTGGAACTATTGTATCGTACTTTGGGAACCTTAAATCTAACTTCGACATACCAGTTGTAGGCGAAATATCTCTAGGAATCCCACCTCCTACTCTTCCTGACATAACAACTGGTATTATAGGAGATTCTGTCGTGATTGCCATTATAGTTTTTGTTTTGACCATTTCCATGGCCAAAGTCTGCGAGAGTAAGAGCACCATCAATGCCGACCAGGAACTAGTAGCGTACGGAATGTCCAACTTTGGTGGTTCTTTTTTCCGATGCTTTCCTTCCTGTGTAGCACCACCTCGTACAATTTTACTGAACACCATGGGGACCAAAACCACACTTAATGGACTATTCTCAGCTGTCGTTATATTGCTTATTTTATTGTTTTTAGGAGAGTACTTTCAATACCTACCATTGCCCATTTTGTCTATAATGGTCATCATGGCAGTTAAGAATCTGCTTCTTCAATTCCGCCAGTTACCACGGCTATGGAAGATAAACAAATATGATTTTACCGTTTGGGTAGCCACGATAATGTGTGGAGTCTTTATAGATTTTCCTTATGCTTTGTACTGTGGAGTTGGACTAAGTATTTTCTTCGTCGTTTTTCAAAGCCAGAAAGGAAAAGTGGGTTTGTTTGGTAAAGTGGTGAACGAAGATTTGTATGTTGAAGAGTCAAAACACACAGTTCTTCCGTCAAATGTGAAGGTATTTAAAATGGAATCGTCCCTTTTCTTTGCAACAGCGGAGTCTTTTCGTGATAAATTATACAAACTGGCCGGGGATCCAAGGAAAATGAAGAAAAGCTCGGAAGAGGTGTCAATTTCTGTGGACGAAAGACCTCCTAGGGAAAGTAGGAAAAACAAAACTTCCTCCTGTGGCAACCTCGAAGACAGACTATGTGAAGGGGACATACACACCGAGACGAAGTATGTTGTCATTGACTGTTCGTCTTTCAATTATGTGGACAGTAATGGAGTTTCCATAATGTCGCTAGTTGTCATGGAATACCGGTCAGTTGGGATTAAGGTTCTATTGGTCCGGTGCAGCACAAACTTTCTGGGAGTGATGTTGAGGTCAGAGTTGATGAAGACGGTCGGGGAAGAAAACGTGTTTCCGGATATAGTGGACGCTTTGCATCTTGCTGTATCAGATGAATGATGTAGTTTAGCGGTCCTTTTACTGATTTCATAAAATGATGATATGATATTCAACATTTGTTTTCTGTTATTCTCGAAAAGCGGGAGGGTATATAGTAATCGTTATGTCCGTCCGTCCGTCTGTTACGCTTTGGGGGTACCAATCTCTTATCCGCCACTCCTCTCATACCACTGCATGAAATTTGATGAAACTCACTGAATCTTTATTACATATTGCCATTATGCACCTCCTATTTTACTTTTTGATCCGACACATATTTGTCCCCCGCTTGAAAAGTGGGGAATATTAATTTGGGTTTGTCCGTCCGTCTGTCCGTCCGTCAGTCCGTCTTTCTGTCTGTCTGTAACGCTTTCGTTTCCACACGATATCTCGAGAACCCTTTGAGCTTTTGCAATGAAATTTAGCATAGCAACTCCCTATGGACTAAAGAAGAATCCTATTGATTTTGTAGTCAAAAGGTCGAAGGTCAAGGTTATAAATAAACAAATTCTGTCTGTTATAACACTTTCGTTTCCACACGATATCTCGAGAACCATTTGAGCTATTGCAATGAAATTTTACATAACAACTCTCCGTGGCCTAATGAAGACCCCTATTGATTTTGAGGTCAAAAGGTCAAAGTTCAAGGTCGTAAATTTATACATTCTGTCTGTGTGTAACACTATCGTTTCCGGGCGATATTTCAAGAAGATTTTGAGCTTATGCAATGTAATTTTATACCAAAACTCCCTAGGACCTCTCTCACCCCTCTCAAAGTGCCCCGCCCCGTTTGTTTTATTAGTATTTATAGTATTACATGTCGCTATTTTTACCACAGGGGCATGAGGAGAGTTATTGCGTATAAAGCAGGTTCTCGGCGGACTTTATCTATTAGAACTGTTTAATAAAGGCTAAATAAATCAAACACCATGGATTGTGTAAAATTTTGACAACACCGAACATGAATATATACATATATTTACATTTTCAATGTCTTTGTCCGAGATAAAATTACCAAATGTAAATGTACTTTATTTCTCCATCAATGTATTGGCGCAGTTCCAAAAAAAACCACGTGCAGGGCGGGACAAACAGCTAGACAGAAGCAGGGCTTGGAGCACGTGGATTGGCGGAATCAAAGCATGTAAATATAAGGAATAACTGTCAGATTTTTCAATTTCATGAAGATGATCAATCGATTGGCTTGCGTGATAATTTTATGCATAAACGCCTTCGGCGTTTATGCAAATTATCACGCAAGCCAATCGATTGATCACATCATGAAATCGAAAAATAAGACAGTTATTCCTTAAGTATGTGACTTCACTTCTGCATATACTTGACTTCATGTAAAGCGATTCCGTGGTCTAGTGGAATGTTTCTCGCTTCCCATGCGAGAGGTCGCGAGTTCAAGTCCCGGACGGCCCATTTTTTTTTTAGAGAAATACTTTTTTTTTCTAAATAATAGTATTCAGCACGCGAAATGAAAAATTTACGAGGTCTGGCTTGTACAAACTTATAAAATCATCATTACAGTGTGATAAATATTCCATATAAAAAGAATCTTCTATACACATAATAAAGAATAAGCAATTAAATCTTTATATCCATAATGGTATATTTTATTTGCTTCAGTATACATGCATGTTTACATTTAATAATTCTACAGATTCAGTGAGGGGGATCCGACTCTCCCCCTCCCCCGAACTGCGCATGTTTTACTTTTTCCTTAAGCGGGGGACACAAATTCTCTGAATGAGCTTGTTTGGGTTTCCCATAGCAAAACATAAACACTCCCATTATATATTCATGTGGGAGGCTGGGGTATCATTAAATGAGCTCATTGCTCACAATAATTCTATTTTGAAATAAAATTATAAATATGGCCCTTTGAATTAAATCTGAAAGGGAGAAGGCATAACAAACAACAAAATTTGAAAGAAAAAAAACCCGCACATATACTTTGCAAAGTGTATCTAGATGTACTGTGAGCAATGAGCTCACTAAATGATACCCCCCCCCACCCCCTCGCATATGGTAATAAAAGCAAAGTCCATGATTTGCGCATGGAGATCCAAAATAAGAGTCAGATCAAAGAGTGAAATAGGAGGTGCACAATCGCATTATGTAATAAAGAATCTGTGATATATCGGTTCTTATTCAGCAGTAAAGGAAGTTGCGAATAAGAGATGGGTACCCCTCAGTACAGTATAGTAGAAAGTATAGCCTTGTCCATGTTTTGCTATGGGAAACCCAAAATATGTGACCGATCCAAAAGTAAAATAAAAGGTGCACAATGACACTATGTATCAAAGATTCTGTGAAAGTATCATTAAATTTCATTCAGTAGTAAAAGAGGAGTTGCGTATAAGAGATGGGTACTGGAAAGCGTAACAGACGGACAGACGGATCTCTATAGAAGCGGGGGTATAATAAACGACGATTATATTTTTGCATTTTATGTTGTTCGAATTTGAGTGATCAACACAAACTGCATGTTCCATTTATTGTCATTCTTTAGAAGTCTTCCAATTATTTGTTTATCAATTACTAGTAATTCTTTCGATATTTAATATGACCAAGATTCATGGATTCAGAGCAAAGCTCTGAAATTTCTATGCAAGTTCCAAAACATTTTCATACCCCCCTTTTTGAAATTCGGGAGGGTATATAGTGACCGGGAAGTCCTTCCGTCCGTCTGTTACGCTTTGGAGTGTCCATCTCTTATCCGCAGTTCCTTTTCCAACACTCATTGAAATTAAATGAGACTACAAGTATCACATATATAAGAAAGCACGATAAAGCTGCCTCAGTGCTATAGTAACAGACAGACGGACGAACATACCGATTACTATATACTCTCCCGCTTTTCAAGCGGGGGTATAATAATATGTTCACATATTCTTTATCACATAATGCCATTATGCCGGAGGTATCATTTAGTGAGCTCTGTGCTCACAGTACCTCTAGTTTCTATTATGAATTATGTTGAAGGGTATGCCAGAAGATGGACAAAATATAAAAGGGAAGACCTCAGCTGAGTGTATTTGCATTATTATCTTAATGATTTAAAGTTCTTGTCATGCATGCATAATCTACAATGTACTCCGGTATTGGTTATTGTACAATCCTGTTAATCGAAACTATTTGTGGTATATTTACTTATATATATGTTCATATTGAGAGGACTTTTTAAAATTCAATCAAATTTGAAAAGTTCACTTTCAAAAAAAGGCAAGGAATATAACTTATTGAAAGCGGATTCTTGTAAACATTTCGAATGATGAGGAAACTGTCATTCTCTCTGGTTGTGATTTACGCGTTGATTATCAGCGGATTGTTCTGTGCTTTGTTCACTGATTATTGGATAGATGAAACAGAGTATAACTTTGGAGTCTTCAAGTACTGTACTCACAATGCTACAAGCTGTCAAAGTGTTACAAGTGAACTACAAAGTGTCCAAAGTAAGTATATTAAATGTAGATTTATGGTAATTTTAAAATGTTATTTTTGCATGTTGTCTGAAGTTCTCTTTCACTTTCTATATTTTAACTTTCCAGAAAATTTCAACAAAAATCATATAAAAAAATGAGATTTACTTGATTAAAAGTAAGTATGCTTGTAAAGAGACAAATATTGTCGATCGTCGGGGAACTGGTGGAGCGGATAGTTAAAAAAAAAAAAACAAACTTGGTATGAAAATTCCTTGTCAAGTATCTGAATAGGAAATATTGTTAGCCTTTCCAGTTTTAGCTAATTTCAAAATGTTTTAAAAAACGTCATCTAAGAACACTTAGGCAAACGTTATGAATTTGCCCTGCAGAAGCAGTACGGTAATACTGTACAGTAACCACAGTTCCCGTGAAAGAGCTAAAAGTTTTGTCAAAAACGAAAATCGTATGAGATTGATACTGGTTTGGTTTAACATCTATAATTGTGTGATTTAATATTTGTTATATCCAACTCATTGAAATGGTGTGTATTCTCTCGACAAGCCTGGCGAAAAGGCCATTTTAACGAGTTTGACAAAGCAAATATCAAATTAGTGAAATTACACAAATATCAAATTATCCTCTATTAATCTGAAGTCGCATTAATCTTAAAACTGTGTCACAGTTGATATTTAATTAGATACTTTGTGAATAATTCATATTTGATTAGCGCGCATTGCTAATCAAACGTAGCGCTGTTTGTGTGAATGAGTGCCATGTGTGAATGTTTTGTTTGTCACGTGATGTTTCTATTTTTAGCTTCCCAACCGACCAGGTATACGAGTACGACCAGTGGACCAATGACAGACCTCTATCTGATAATTAATATGCATGTATACTAACTTCGTGCACTATATAAGCGCTTATCCCGCCAAATAAGATATCTATCAGCTTTTACCTTCACGGTTTATGAGGTCTAACCATTTATGAAGTCATCGAGTTATACGATGTCTTGATTACTATTATTATAATATTCATTATTTTATGATACTGGATACCTGGTAAGATTAAATTCTAATGATGTAATTACTTATATCAATTTTGATAATACGTAAAATATTTTAATGACAGCGACGTGAATTTGCATGTTGTGTAATTTGTAACATTGTTTAGCGTGCTGTATTTGTCTCTTGTTAATGTGTGTGTTGTGAGAGTGTTTTCTATGTTTCTAGGTTTCTTTTCTGTTATCCATAATAAAACATCATTACTCGAATCCAGCGTTTTCTCTGAAACGATTGACCCTGTGACAACTGGATACAATTTAAAAGATCACTTACCTTTGGCTAGAAAGATGGTTTACATTTGAGTTCTTCTTTATTAAATCCATTGACTAGCATTGACAATTGAGTGCTTGTATAGCTTAATTTCAATATCCATAGAGAAACCTGACACTTAGCCCCACTTTAAATGATTAATTTAAATTAAAAAAAAACCCAGTCAAAGGACGATAATAGGTTTGGAGTTTATATCAATTATATTGATCGATATGATAATCAATCGCTACATGTATGTAATTATTACTGGTATTTTTTTTTTTATCTATGGGAGTATGGGGCACTGCATCTTTTGTAACCTCGCAGACT